TGTTCTTGCTGTTGTCTCTGGAGGTGGTGAAGTGGCCCTTCACGGATTCTGCATACCTTATGTAACTACTATCACTACTGATGTATGAGAGCCACTCAGGCGTCTGCCCTGGAGCCTGGCGGAGCCAGCTCATGTAGTAACTACTGAAGTCGAATCCGGAGGCTGCACAGGAGAGTCTCAGAGACCCCCCAGGCTGCACCAAGCCTCCCCCAGACTCCACCAGCTGCACCTCACACTGCACACCTGCAAACACAGAGAATCCAGGTAAGCAATGGTCACACACATCCACCGTTCCTCCCATTCAGCTCCACTCACACACTCAGTGTCCCTTCTTCTCTGCAAATTACCTTGTAAAATGGCCACAAGGAAAACCCAGGTCAGAGCCCCCTCCATGGTGGAGGTCTGCTGATCTCAGGATGGACCCCTGGACGTCACGCCTGACCTGCAGAGGTGCAGCTTTTCATGAGCAGAGGGAGGCCCCATTTGCATGTCCTCTTGGTATATAGCCAGCTCTGGGGTGGAATCTGAGCAAAGGCAGTGCAGAGAAGACAGGAGAATCAGGAAGTCAGCAGTGACAATGATTACATGGAAGAGAACAAGGACCTCATCCCACAGCAGAGCGAATACTTTAGGAGACCTCCTCTTACTGCATTTTACACAGCACAGTCAGTCATCGCTCACATTAGGTGTCATGATGTGTGCATGTGTCACATTGTTTGGTGGTATGAATTTGTAATAGAAGAGTCTGTTGATTGCTAGAGAGGTGCACTGCCCCTTGAGCTGTGTGTCCAGCCATTTTTGCTGTATTTTTCTTTAGTGATTTGGGGATATGGCTATGCATTTTTCCTGGTGGTATGGGCGGTGTTCTCCTATCTGTGCTTTCTGTGCAGCTGAACGGATTGCTGTGCATGACCGTGTTTATCTCTGGGCTGACACTGTGTCTCTGGGACTGGCTCCAGTCATTCCTTCCAGTCTCCCCTACCGAGGAGGGGCCACCAACCCATCTGACCATTTTGTCACTTTTAAACTATGGAAATGCACTTATTTTATTTGCTGCAAACTTGTTCAGCTTTACCACATAGAGTACTTGTTTATAACATTTCATAAGCACCACAGCACAGGGAAATCTGCTTCACCAGCAGCAGAGTCAGGAAATGGGGCATTCTTCTGGAAGCAAGTCCTTGGCTTCCGCTCTACCCCTCCTCCCACCAGCAGTGGTTGTGGGTTAAGGAAGGCTGTGTGCTTCCTACTGCAAATATGCTAAGGGGATCA